TGCTGAGTGTTAAACAGATGCTCTTGATTAATAAAGGGGTCTAGCTATTATTGTTAGTATTGCATGGTTTCTAGAAGCCATGATCAGGGATCAAAGCTCCTTTGTCCTGGGTGCTGTACACACAGATGAAAAAGCAATCTCTGCTTTTCTTAAGAAAGAGTAAAACTTGTGTCTTATTGCACTGTGCAGCATTTGGCCACCTTACTGCCAGAGCACCAATGTAGGCTGTGATATTCAGGAACAACATCCTGTTCCCATTGAAATCAATGGTAAACTCCAAATGATTTCCATTTGGACCAAGAGCTGTTGAACCATTTTTGTTGAATACTGTAGTACATTTTTGTTATAAGAAAGGGGCTTTCTGAATGCCAGGTGGGTGTCTGTAGGTTTCCATCTGCTGGGTAGCCTGCTCTGGTGGGTTTCTTATGTGCAGCCTCAGTGGATTTATTTATCCCTTTGAACTACAGGTAGTGATGTTCCACTCCCTTTTGTTCACATGCTGCAAACTGAATTTCCTCCTCATGGTGGGAAATAAATTATCATTGAAAAAACAGACATAGGAGTGACATAAATACAGAACTTTATTCTGCACTGTCTTGTACTGGTGCAAAGGAAGTGCAGAGTGGATATAAGGAGGCAGGTCTTAGGTCCTTGATTTCTACCCATTGCATTGCACAATGAGCAGCAGGCCAGTGGATTAGATCAGTCTGACAAAATAAGACCCTCTTTAGTCATCTTCACTCACCCAAGAGACTCCCTCTAGGAGATCCTAGCTTTCTTATATTGCCTATGAGATAATGCACTTTTTCAGAGAGCTAGCAGCTTGGTTTCTTGGGATAAAGCCAATAGTGGGCCCAAATAATAAAACTAAGGACTTCAATGTCCTCCCAGTGTTGGATGTGTTCAGGTCTGGGGGTGGGTTTGAGTGCCTTCATAAGGAGAATAAGCTGGGTTTGCAGCAGGTCTGGTCTCCTGAAAGGACAGGGTAGTTAATAAGGAGGAGAAAAGAATTTCTCAGAGAAAGCTCAAAGCAGAATGGGCAGGAATCAGGAACTTGGAAAATCTGTCTGCAGTTCTGGCTTTCCTGTGCCTTTATCTCTCCCTGACCCCTGATGCAGTTTGGGAGGAGTGTTACTTCCCAGCCCCAGGCTGCTTTTCCCACGTGTGTGTTTTTTCTCTCTCCTGCAGCTCAGTCAGTACCCTCACTTGCGGGAGGAGATGGAACGAATTGTTACTACCCACATTCGAGAGCGAGAAGGCAAGACAAAGAATCAGGTAGGGAAGTATGGGCTCACTCAGGGGGAGGACAGGGAGGGGAAACCTTCAAGGGAACAATCTGAGATATAAAATAGAGACTGGCCTATACTGTAAAGTTGGGATCTGGAACTGAACTTCTTCAAGCTCAAGAGCACTTGACCACAAAGAACTTAAGGGAACTGTGAATATAGCTTATTGGCTATTCCCACCCATCTGCTATTGCATTTGTATTGTCTGTCCTTGGTCTCTCACGTGCTCCAGTTGTCTTTGCCCTACAGGTCATGCTCCTGATAGACATTGAGTTGGCATACATGAACACAAACCATGAGGATTTCATTGGCTTTGCCAAGTAAGTGCCAATACACTCTACTTTCTTCCCTCCTGACCTCCTCCCCTGCTGCCTAACTGTTTTCCTAGGTGGGCTGATGGCAGTTTGTCCACAAGTTTTGATGAGGGATGGTGGAATAAGGCCTTTGACACAGGATGCTAAGGAAGAAAATAGACCTTTCCCAGAGGGGTATGAGCAGCTCTTGGAGTAGAGTCCTGACCACTCCCTGTCTTCATGTCTTCCTGCCTCCCTACCCTTAAGGCCAGCTGACTTCTCAGTTGACTGGAGAGAGTGGGGGTTGTATGTGGCATTTCACCCCTGAATGCTGTTTTCTTAGCTTCCCTCCAGAGTTTGGGAAGCAAGGAGTGACATTCAGGCTCTCTCATGGCATTGCAGTATGGTCACTAATGGTTGGAAATTAAAGAAACCCAAAGCTAGTGCAAGCTGAATTTTGAATGTCTCGTGTATTGTTTTGTAGTGCTCAGCAGAGGAGTAGCCAGATGAGCAAGAAGAAGGCAGCTGGCAACCAGGTAAGCAGAGTTCCCTCCTATTTATTTCTGTAAGACAGATACGTATTCAATTGGACAGACCATCACTTGACTGGGTATTGAGCCAGATATAGCAAAACTTCAAAGGTGTAAAGAGGTGGATGAGGAGAATATTAGAGAGCCACTTTTCAGTCCCAGAGAAATCGGTGTGATTACTATTAAGGCAGCTGGTGAGAGGAACAAAGAGGGAAGCACTATGGAAGTATGTGGACTGTCCATTCTGCGCAGGAAAAAGTGATAGTGAATTTAGCGATATAACCTCACATGCTTTATATGGGCAGAAGGAGCTTCACTTCACGTACACTCCCTACTGCTTTATAGATAATGGTGGATATCAAACCTAATATCCATACCTGCCTCATTTACTTTTCCCAGCTGTGATGACCTTTTGCAGAGGTGAGACATGGAGACAAACTCTCTGAATTTGTGGGTGCAGATGCAAGTTCACAATAAAAAAGTGGGGACAAACTCTCTCGAACGGGACTTTAAAGCCAGCTTCTCAAGGAGACTTTGGCATTCATCAACCATGCGTAGGTGGGGCATCCTTGCAATGGAATGTATCTTTGGGAGAGGAGAGCAAATGGAGAAAAAAGCAACTGAAATGAGCATGCTTGCTCTCAGAATCCAGGAGGTTAAAGATACCTTCCTCTCCTAGAGCTACTTGGAGAATCCCAAGATTATGTAAGCTGGAAGATCCTACAGAAAAAGAACAGCAGTAGGCGAATGCAGACAAGAGTCCTTCCCCAGGCCCAAATGCTCATCTGAAGTGAACTTTCCTCAAAACATGTATGTCCACCTTTCCATGAGATGCAGCTAGAGTTTCAGAGTTCCTGGCAGGAAGGCTGGCAGGTTCAGCTGGACCATTGTCCATTTTACTGAGGCCATTTTGAAGGGTTTTACAGGGTACCTTCTTAGCTGCAGGGAGCTCTATCCTCTGAAAAGCACCAGTGGGTAACTCACCATTACTTTCTGACAGCTCTAAGAGTAAATTAATTTCTATTTCAGGTGTGGATCAGCATATAAATAGCTTTTGCTTTCTTTTTCTTTAGCAGATCTTATTTTGGGATGCGGGGTCTTTGTTGGTTTTGCGTTTGAGGTGCTAATTTGGTAAAAGATTCAGATTAATTTTTGAGCTTTTTTTTTTCTTCTGCTCCTGCTTTCCTAGTAACAATATCTCCTCTCTTTGCTCCTCTTTTTTCATCTCTGCTTTGCTGCTGTTGCTATGGTTCCCCTTTGCAGGATGAGATCCTGGTGAGTAGAAGGCCTCTCAGCAGGCTGTGCTAATGAGCATCAACGTTGCATCTGGAAAGGGCAGGAAGAGCACTTAGATCATTCCATCTGTTACAAAAATGGGGGGAAGTGGTAGCTAATATTAGACAAAGATGAAGTGGAAATGGGGAGCATTTCCTTAGCTATCAGTAGAGAATATAAGTGGAGGTCATTCAATAAAAAATCAAGATCCAGGTTTAGCTTCAGTGTCTTATTCTGTTAGCAAAGGGAATCGAACCATTGTGAATTTTAACAATGCATGTGAAGGGAAAGGATGGGCATCCATGTACTCTTAAACACAGATATATGAATGCACAGGCATAAGCAGTGTATACATATTTATTAACTCTCAAACACCAATATGATCATGTCTAATATTTTTAATGCACAAACTCACTTTTAACATGTACATATGCTCTACTGTGTATATATAGGAAAATGTATACACACATACATAAAGCATGCAATAACACACACACTTGCAGTGGTGCTCATAATCCACATATCTACATAAATGATTATATATTCCATGTATTCTTTCTGCTAATTCAGGGGTGTTCAACCTCTGGCCCATTGGCCAGATCTGGCCCTCAAAACCATGTAATCTGGCCCACGGGGTTTCCTTTGGATCTTTGGGGAGCCTGGAAGGCTGTGGCTTTGCACACTAGATCCGGCATGCAGGCTTGTGTGCGGCCTGATCCAAACATGCAGGGCTGGGCAGAGGGGGCTCAAGCCCTGGAACATGATCCTGGCCAGGCAGGGGTAGTGCAGGGCCCCTCGTCTCAATCCTAGCATACAGAAGTTGCGTGGGGCCTGATCTGGCTCTCAGGCTGGCCCTACACCATTCATCTGGCCTGTGGGCCAAAACTGTGAACATCATACGTGCAACGATAAACTCAGATTAATTTAGAGTTTTTCAGGCTACCCTAAATAACAATCTCTTAGCTTGTTTACATAGGTGAATTTATATACCCATATATACTAATGCATGCCTATCTGCTGACAAACACACACATCCACCTAATTTGTCTCATACAACTGAATCTTGTGCATGAATTCCAGATGCACCTTTGTCTCCAGATGCTCATGTCTTCTTGTGTTGCTAAATTCTTTGTTTCTTACTTGCCTGCTCTGCTTTTCTCCTTGAATTGCCTCCCATTGTACTCTGTGAAGCACTCCACCTAAGCCCCAAGTAGTGAGAGAGCTCCCCATGGCCAGCATGCTGAATGGTGTGCTTCCTTCATTGATCTTTTTAGGTGTGGTCTTTTCCACTTATAAGAAAAGTGTTGCTGTAACTTGGTTTCCAAGGATTGTGACAAGGTCCAAGCTTCTTTCTCCTGTAGTTCTTCTTCCCCTTATCTCCCTTTCTCTTGTCTTTGGCAGAGGGTGTAGCCCCCAGGACAGCCAGGTTGTCTCCTGTCTCTCTCTTTTCTTGCCTGACACTTCTGTTCGGACACAGGTCCAGGCTGACTAGCCTGGGAGCACCAAATGATCAAGGGGCTTTTGGGAGGAATAGAGAGACTGGTAGTTTTGGTCTTGTTGGTCTGTGCCTGTGCCAGAGGGACACCCTCTGCTCTTCCTCACTGTTTGGAGAGTTAGGCTACTGGGGCCATGTTAATGCTGGTGTTTTCTATTTCTTCAGGTGATCCGAAAGGGCTGGCTCACCATCAACAACATTGGGATCATGAAGGGCGGCTCCAAGGAGTACTGGTTTGTCCTGACTGCTGAGAACCTCTCATGGTATAAGGACGATGAGGTGAGTGGCTTAGTCTCCAGGTTGTTGTGGCTCTTTCTTCAGAACCCAGTTCTCAGAGGAGCTGAACATCTTCAACTCCAGCTGACTTTAGTGGCTGAGCATTTTGCAGGATAAATTCCGTATATCTGCTGGATGTTATCGGTACGTCTGTGTATTGAATACCAGCTTCTATAAAGCAGCCTACACTTCTTACCTGGAGTGATCCCGTCTACCCACATCCGTCCTGTCCCAAGAGCACATGCCACAGGATGAGGTGCTGTAATTAGGGTTCCATGTTGTCTTGCAAGGTGTGATGCGAATCCCAAGAAACTTTGGGTGAAACTTGGGATGGAGGGAAAGGAGGAGACAGCAGTTTGTGCAGTGCAGTGAAGTCCTGCACAGCAGGTACATCCTGCACATGTTAGCACTGAAACAATTTCTGTCCCCTCCTTTCCCTCCATCCCATGAATTTTGAATCTTATATTAAGCTCTCAGTAGAGACTTGACCTTGCTGCACAATTGGAATGAGGACAGTTTCTTTTTAACTATGAAGGTCACTGCATTAGTTTGCATGTAGCTTGCCTGGCAATGAAGAGAAAACACAATTGGAATTACTGCTTTGGAGTCCATGGATCAGTGGACAGCACTTTTTCTGCCTGTGGCAAGTAGACTTATTGGAAGGAGGGATGGGTATGTACTCTGAGACCAAAGGCCTTGCGGTACTTTCAGAGGCAGCTGTGGTGATTATTGAATAAGAAAAGTGGTTAAGCTTGACTTCACTTTTTGGTCTCAAAAGAGATGTCTGACCTAGTTGGGTGAGCATTAGAGTGGGATCTGTGGGTTTAAAATCCTAACACAGATACTGACTGCACCTATGACTATGAGTAAGTAATGTCATCTCTCCATGCCTCATCTTTTTTCTCATCTGCAAACAAAGAATGTTTGTTGAGCTGATCAATTAATTCATGTTTATGAAGTCTGAGTATTGTTATTGTCTCTAGTGGGTTATGGAGTAGAGAAAATCCCATACAACTTACTGATTCGTTTGATGCACTTGCTGGGGGAGTATCTAGTTGATTGCACGATTTCACAATGATTACACACTTAATTCATACAACACAATTTTATTTTAAAATTCTTTGCTACGCATATAACACTGCTTAGCTTTAAGAAATACCACAAACATTAAGAACACAATAACTACATATATCAGAAACAATGCTCCGAATGCACTTCCTTCCCAAACAATGCTATAAGAATCAGTATTACAAAAACAACTACAATTACAACTAAAAGTTAAATTTGAATCAATACTATTATTTTTCATAATATACTTACAATCCTAGAATTCCGAGAAGCCAAACACCTAGATATGGTTTCATTCCTCAGTAGTACAATTTAATGGGTTGGCCTCAGTAGTATGGTTCAATGGGCTCGCCTCAATACTGATAGGACTAAGTCCCCTTCCTTCAGTCCCTTTCGGGTGCTCTGCAGCTTCAGCGTGAACTAAGATTCGTGTTCACGGAGAGGGTGGTTCAGGTGATCAGTCTGATCCGGCCTACACTTGCGATTCTTCCTTCATTGTTCTGCAAGTGAGGTTACCTCCAAATTGGGACAGTAGGTTACAGTTTTTATTGAGTGAGTTGCCGTCCTGGGCCCCTCCTGCCCAAACCTGTCACTACTCCCAAATTTGGGCTCGGATCTTACTTAACAGATTCTTTTACCTGGTAATTAGTTTCTTTTGTTGATCATTTTAATTACTTTGAGGAATTTCCATATCACTGAATTGATTTTTTTTATTTCCAATCTTGTCAAAAGGCCCTAGTGCTTGATCTCTCAGAATTTGGGATATTTGCTTAAGGGTCATTTTTTATGTTAACTTTGTTAAAGGCCTCTAAAGGTAAAATTCAAGAGTTAAGACTTTGAGCAAAGTCAGGACCTTCCGCACGTAGACCAAAACAATGGCCTAGATAAGAAGATAAATCTTGTCTTCTTCCTGAAACTGGCTAATGGGCAACTATTACAAACATTCAAACTATTTCATTCAATATGACAGTTATTAGTAAACCATAATGGAATATGCAGAAGATAACTTGGCAAGTAGTGTGGACCTGCAGCATACAGCTGCTTTAAAAATATATCACTGAATGTTGGGAATCCTTGCTTTCCAGGATTTTATTTCCCATTTAAACAGAGATGCTAGCTGCCAGAATAATGCCTTACTTAAAGTTAATATTATTATTTATTCATTGGTGATCTACAATATGTCACTCCGTGTACAAGATGTAAAGGAAGAGAAAATCTTTGCCCCATGCTTCTGAGTAGTGGGAGTGAAAAGCAAGATAATAATCAGAATGGTATGATTTTAAGAGCAAATATTACACAATGAATACAGATGTGGCAGTAGAGCAGTTAAGGCATCTCACTCCAGCTCTGCAGATGCACAGTAGTTGGAAGCCTTGCTCTTGACTGATATTGAAGACGTAGCTGTAAATGGATACCTGGTCCTTCAGGCCATGGAGGCAAGGATTGCTGGACATGACACAAGCCGCATCACTCCCTTGTGTGTTGTTGGCTACTAAATCTGGTGTACCTTAACCACACTAGTGTAATGGATTTTTAGGCCCAGGGCAGCACTTGACCCTATCACCAAATAGTGTCAGGGTCAGAAACACCTTGATGGATTAGTACAAATGCTTTCAGGTTAAGACTAACATGCTTTTCTAAGCACTGGTTTCAAACTGCTGGTCAGAAATAAGAGGCCTTGTACCACTATTTGTACCTTAGCAAGATGCCTGTAACCTGCTGCCAGGCCAGAATTTTTCTGTTACTTACATCAGTGGGGATGTTTAACACTGGCTTTGCACAAAAGGAAACAACAACACAATACAGTAGGGAATTGGGTCCCAAATGTCACTCTGCAAATGAGCTAGTTAGCCTTAGTTTAACTGGGCAAACACCAATCCCCTAATTAGCAAGGGACTGGGAATGAGAATGTCCTTTCCTAAATCTTTGTGATCCGTTCCCTCATACAGAGCTGATTGGCATAACAGTGCCATCTCATTGTTCTTTGTACAGATCAGATGGTTATAAGGCTTGAGTACTGTTTTAAATTAAAATCAGCTTCTGCATCTGGATTTCAGAGATGACCAGAGCCCCCTGTTTCTCTGCCCCAGGGAGGAAGAGGGCTGTGATTGAGGGACATAATCTATGTTAATAGACCCCAGCTGCATGGGACAGGGAATGGGCATCCCTTTTATCCAGAGGGAAGGCAGCCTTGGGGGTGAGTAACAGCTGGAGGTCTGCACTGCTTCCCTTCTGCATGGCAAGAGGCAGAACCACCTAATTAAAACAGCTCCTGCCAGCCAGCATCCCTTAAATAAATGCAGGGAGACCCAGTGCTGACGAGGCAGGAGCAGGGCGGGAGAAAGAAGTCTTTGTTTAAATGGGGACAGGAGTGGAAGAGAAGGGGGAGTATGTTTTCATTTCTGATTTCTCCCCCCACCTCACTCCTACTCCCCCTTTCACCAGTTCAGCTCCTTGATGTCTGGCCTCTGGGGAGGGGAAAGGAAGTAACTTCCACTTGGATTCCATGGCCATGCTTAGCTTAGAGAGTCGGTCTGTTTTGGCGGCAGCTTGAAAAGCCCCAGGATTTAGCATTCCCATCCTAAACCTCGATCCCACACATGGGACCTATGGCTGACTACCACCCTTTAGGGCCCTTCTGCCCTGGGTGGGAATGGTAGTCTCTACTGTGTAGGTGTTTTTGCCCCTTCATGAGAAGAGGCTGTCTATTCTCAGATCTCACATGAAAATGGGTCAGATTCTATCCTATAGAATCTAACCTTGGGTCCTGCTCCCTTTCAGATGTGGCCATCTCCATAGCTCTGTTGCAGATCCTCTCATCCCCATTGATGGAGGAATTTGTGCATCTCTGTCCTTCCTCCACAGTTTGGAGAGAAGCTGGTATCTCAAGGCCCTATAGTTACCCTCCATGCTTTTGTTAAAAGCTGCAGCGTGGAGCATATTTATTCAGTTGCTCTGTGGGCAAACAAACCCTGTGACTTCTGTGCTTCTGTTGAGTTGTCAGACCCAGCTCCAGTGTGCTGCGGCAAGTGGCCAAAGGAAAGGAGACTGTTTAAAGCACAGCAGAGTGCTTAGAATTGGTGGTGGAGGAGCTGGCTGCAGAACTTTGGGCATCTGGTTGGAGAGGGCCAGTGGAGGGGGACCCTCAGGGGTTGTGGGGGGAGGATGATCACAGGGTGAAACTGGGTTAGGCTAGCACTTGTGGAAAGTTGGGGTGGGTGGAGTGGATGTCAGCCCCTCCCTACCCTGTTATGGCAGGGCTAGACTGCAAGACCAAGTGGAGACATCTGGGCCCTATTAGAGAAATACCAACCTTTCCACAATGCTGGTTTGTTTTCTCTTCCCTCCCCCCCCACCTAAAGAAAAGAATTGGAACTCTGAAGTGTCTTAAAGGGCCCAGCGTTGAGCATTAGTGAAGACAGGGCTCCTGCTGCTCTGGAGAAGGCAGCTGAAGCATGCTGGGGGAATGGGAGGGGAAGGGAGAGAGCAGGCCAAGTGGGGGTGGAAAGCTGGCTTCTTGCTCTGCCCAGCTGCCAAGAGCCCTCTTTGGAGGAAAAACTGAGAGAGAACCCAAGTCTCCTTCCTGTGAGTCAGATGCCTATCCCATGGAGAGCCATGGTATGGGTCTGCTGCGGAAAGCTGTGTGGCCAGGATTTTGGAAGCTCCAGGGGGTCTGCACCTTTTAAGTGCTGCTGGGATTTGTTAACGAGACATTTGGGAAAAGAAAGAGAAAGGGAGATAATGGACTGGCAACTCTGTGAATACGCTAAACATTCAGCCCGTAATATAAAGGGCAGTCTTACTAGTCTTGGAGGCTATTGCATCCCTATGACAGAAATAGTATCTGTGGCTCTGTAACATCTGGAGGTACTGGATATTCAATTATCATAGAAATGGGCCTGGCATGAGAATCTACATAGAATTGGAGTCTTTCC